CCCCCCGCCCCACCCCCCCTGCAAAGCCAGCCAGCCAGCCAACCACCTCCCTTGCCTGGGAGTTCTGAAAGACCGCGTGTTTCTTTGCCCGCAAGGAAATCACCTCCATAGAGGCAGGCCCTGCTCGCGCTCTGCCTAGTCTTCTCCTCTCGCTGCCAAGCTGCCACCGCCACCCCCGGACTTTTGGCCCCGATCTTCATTGTCTGCAACGGCGAGGCAGATGGAACGCTACGGAGGAGTACTAGGAGCAGCATACGAGAAGGCGCCTACTTAGACCCCGGCGGGAGCCTCCTCCCCACACGCGCACACTACGGTGGGGATGCACAGCTGAGGCAGGGCTGTGGCCGGCAGAGCACGCGCTTCCTGACCCCGCCAGAGATCCCTCCGTGCACCGTCAAAGCCAGAGGTGTGCCCCAAGGCAGGTGGTTTCTTCTACATAAACTCACTGGCGTATACATGTATGCAGTCGGGTGGTATTTAAAAATAAGCTGAGCCTCACCCACAAGCAAACGCCCTGATCCGATATGACACAGGGAGGAATGCTGCTACAGGGGGGCTTTGTTACATAACAGCAGCAGACATACTTCCTTAATAGGCAAGGACCTCTTCTACCATCAACATTCACAGGTAGCCAATCTGGACGCCAGAGGAGGCTGTTGCTGCTGTCACAACTCCAGACAGGATACCCCTAAATAGGGGAGGGGCTGTGGCTCAGGGGCAGAGCACCTGCTTCTTGCGCAGAAGGTCCCAGGTTCAGTCCCTGGCGCCTCCAGGTAAATGGGGAAGGGCTGTGGCTCAGTGGCAGAACGTCTGATTGGCGTGCCGAAGGTCCCAGGTTCAATTCCTGGCTTCTCCAGGTAAATGGGGAAGGTACGGTGATGTAAAAGTCCCTGACCTGTGAGTCACTGCTGGTCAGAGTCATTGATACCAGCCTCCATAGACAGATGGCCTGGACCAGGAAAAGGTGCCTTCATGTCTGTTCAGCCACTATAGTCCCAACCCCTCACCCAGTTTTCATGGAGACCATAAGGCTGTCATGCAGGTTCAGTGGACAAGTCAGAAACATCCCCAACACGACCTCTGCATGCAGCTATAGGCTTTTTGGGAATCCATAAGATAAGCAGTGGCCCAAGGGGAAGAGCATCTGCTTGGTGTGCAGAAGATCCCCGGTTCCATCCCTGATATCTGCTGCCAAGAGGACCGGGCAGCAGGGGACGTGAAAGACCTCTGCTTGAGACCCAGGAGAGCCACTGCCAGTCTGAGTAGACATTACTGACCTTGATGGACCCAAGTGTCCAGTTCAGTAGAAGGCAGCTTCATGGTAGATGATCTTAAAGTCAGCTGGGTAAGACCGTAGCTACTTCAGGCCAAGAACAAGTGATGGGGGTTTCATTTATTTATTTAAACCATGTTCATGCTGCCTTGCCACCCGATCAGGGTCCACAAGGCAGCCATGCGTACATGCTGGACAGAGTTGTACAGCCGCAGCTTGGAGGTGCTCCTGAGTGGTCAAGATGGGTGTCAGCTTTTGCTCCTGCACTAGCTTCCTTCCAAGACAGTAGGGCAGGGATCTGGCCCAGATGTCATAAGAACATAGGAGAAGCCAATGTTGGATCAGGCCAATGGCCCATCTAGTCCAACACTCTGTCACACAGTGGCCAAAAATACCAGGTGCCACCAGGAGGTCCAGCAGTGGGGCCAGGATACTAGAAGCCCTCCCACTGCTGCCCCCCCCAAGCACCAAGAATACAGTGCATCATCTGCCCCAGCCTGTGAGTTCCTATCTATACCTTGTGGCTAATAGCCACTGATGGACCTCTGCTCCATATGTTTATCCAGTTCCCTCTTGAAGCTATCCATGCTTGTAGCCACCACCACCTCCTGTGGCAGTGAATTCCATGTGTTAATCACTCTTTGTGAAGAAGTACTTCCTTTTATCTGTTCGAAACCGACCGCTCAGCAATTTCATGGAGTGCACATGAGTTCTTGTATTGTGAGAAAGGGAGAAAAGTACTTCTTTCTCGACCTGCTCTATCCCATGCATAATCTTATAAACCTCGATCATGTCACCCCTCAGCCGTCATTTCTCCAAGCTAAAGAGTGCCCAGGCACTTTAACCTTTCTTCATAGGGAAAGTGTTCCAACCCTTTTATCATTTGAGTTGCCCTTTTCTGCACTTTTCCCAATGCTATAATATCCTTTTTAAGGTGTGCTGACCAGAACTGTAAACAGTACTCCAAATGAGGACGTACCATTGATTTATACAGGGGCATTATGATACTGGCTGATTAGTTTTCAATTCCCTTCCTAATAATCCCCAGCATAGCGTTGACCTTTTTTATTGTTTTTTTAAAAAATGCATTTAGCTTCTCAGCCATTTCCCTATAATCCTTCAGTACTCCTTTTACCCCTTGGTCATCCAAGGGCCCCACTGCCTCCCTGGCTGGTTTCCTACTTCTAATGTACTTGAAGAAAGTTTTATTGTTGGTCTTTATATTTTTTGCTATATGCTCCTCATATTCCTTTTTTTGCCTGCCTGACTACAGACTTACATTTTATTTGCCACAGCCTGTGTTCCCTTTTATCAACCTCACTGAGACTAGCTTTCCACCGCTTAAAGGAATCCTCCTTACCTTCTACACCTTCCATTACTCCTGTCCTTAGTGGTGTTTAGATGAGACTGCTGTAATGCACGGTGCACAGAGCTGCCTGTCAGGACTGTTTGGGAACTGCATGTAGGTCAACTGGGAGGGGGTTAAGTTGTTGGTAGGGTCAAGCTGCCAGGGGGCATATTACTCCAATTTCATCTCTCTTACACCCACTGCCAGCTTCTAGACCAGGGGTGGCCAAACTTTGGCTCGGGAGCCACATGCGGCTCTTTCACACATATTGTGCGGCTCCCGGCAGAGCAGCTGGGAAAGTGAAGGGGAGGCATACTTTTTCTCCCTCCTTCCTTCCCCCTCCCTCCCTCCCATCTATTTGCTTTCTTTGTTTCTCTCTCTCTTCTTTCCACCTCTTTCATTCTTTCTTTCCACCTCTCTTTTTCTCTCTCTCTTAGACAAATAAATACCATTAGCAAACAAATAAATATCATTGGACAAATAAGTATCATTATCAATATCTGTTTTTACCCCTTTTGTTTTTACTTTTGGCAGTCTCATTTAACAGCAATCGCTTCATATTGGAAGGAGAAAACAGCGCCCATGATAGAAGTATGGTACAAAAAATTATGGAGTCACTATTTGATGGATGCGGTTACCAACAAACAGAACTCTTTGTTGCAAAATCCCAAAAAATCCAATTTTACAGAAAAATGGTTCCCAGTACTTGATTACTTGTCAGTCAAGCAGTTTATCTCACATGAATGGTCTCAATATCATAATTGGATATAACAGCAATAGTTCTTGAATTTCATAGAATCTTGCTCTTGCCTTTGTCTATCTTCCTTAATTTTGTGAAAGTTTCCTCTTCTGGTGAGCACAGTGTTTAGTGTTGATTTATATTGGTTATTGAAGAGTAGTACGAGGTTGGCTTGTCTACCATAAAAGAAGTTACAAGTAGTTATATAGTATCTGTATTATAGTGTATAGGTATAAGGCGCATATACGATTTGTTGTAAAGTAAAACAATGTAACTCATTCAACTGGTTATTTTATTGTTAAAACAGGAAGTACTATGTTATTGTTGTTATGGTAATTATATGTATGATTTCGTGTTTAAAATAAAAAATTTAATTATTAAAAATGTTAATAAAAATCGAATTTGCATCTTTTAAAATAAAAACGTGTAGTATTTGTTCATGTCTTGCAGCTCCCTGAGAGCCAGTTTGGTGTGCTTAAGTGCGCAGACTCTAATCTGGGAGAACCGGGTTTGATTCTCCACTCGCACCTGCTGGATGACCTTGGGCAAGCCATAGTTCTGGCACGGCTGTTCTTGAAAAAGCAGTTTCTGTCAGAGCTCTCTCAGCCCCACCTACCTCACAGGGTGTCTGTTGTGGGGGGGGGGAGGGAAAGGAGTTTGTAAGCCGCTCTGAGATTCCTTGGGTTGTGAAGGGCAGGGTATAAATCGTATAAATCCAATCTCTTCTTCTTCTTCTCTCAGACATATGATGTTTATTCTGTGTGGCTCTTATGTTGAGCAAGTTTGGCTGCCCCTGTTCTAGACCCAATCCAGAGTGCTGGCCATAACCTTTAAAGCCCTAAATGATCTGGGAGCCTGGTGTCACAAGGATCACCGTGGTCATCGCCAGAAGCCCTACTCTTGTATGTTCGTGAACAGAAGCAGGATGGGTGACTGAGAGCAAGAGACTAAAACCTTGTGTGCATAGAGACTCTCCTAAGGGGAGTCAGCCTGGCTGTACCTTTATTGGTGTCCTGCTGTTGTCTAAACCAATCCTTTTAAAGAACACCCTTCATAAGTAAATGGCTCTGGGCTGCTGCCTTGTTATGGAAGATTATAGAGGATCTGCATCTTAAAA